GAACTGTTGATTCTTTGTATTGTTTTCTTTGTTTCAATTTCATTAATTTCTACCCTGATTTTTATTATTTCTTCTTGTCTGCTGGGTTTGGGTTTCATTTGCTGTTGCTTTTCAAATGTGTTGTGTTGCAATAAGTCATTTATTTGTGTTCATTCCAATTTTTAACGTAGGCACTTAGAGCTATAAACTTCCTTCTAAGGACCGCTTTCAGCATGTCCCAGAGGTTTTGTTGTGTTGTGTTGTCCTTTTCATTTAGTTCCAGGAATGCTTTTATTTCTTAATTTCTCTTTTGACCCATTCATCATTCCGGAGTGTGTTGTTTAATCTCCATGTGTTCATGTGCTGATTAGGGCTTCTTCCGGTGTTGACTGTAAGCTTTATTGCACTGTGGTCTGATAGAATGTGTGGAATTATTTGAATCTTTTTTATTTGTTGAGGTTTGTTTTGTGCTCCAGTATATGGTCGAATTTGGAGAAGGTTCCATGGGGTCCTGATTAGAAAGTATGTCCTTTGGTGCTTGGGTGGAATACTCAGTATATGTCTGTTAAGTCCATTTGATATAGGGTATTGTTTAATTCAGATGTCTCTCTTTTAACTCTCTGCCTTGTTGACATATCTAATGGAGACCATGGGGTATTGAAGTCCCCTACTACTAGTGAGTTGGGATTAATCTGGGCCCTGAAGTTCTATAGTATTGTTTTTATGAAGTTGGGTGCACCAGAGGTTGGTGAATATATGTTCATGATTGTAATATCTTCTTGTTTTATTGTTCCTTTGATCAGAATGAAATGGCCCTCTTTATCTCTTCTGGTTATCTCTTCTAATTAGTTTTAGTTTGAATTGCAATGCCTGCTTTTTGACTAGTACCATTTGATCGTAATATGATTTATTCCATCCTTTAACCTTAAGGTAATGGCTGTCCTTGAAGGTGAGAAGAGTTTCTTGCAGACAACAAAAAGATGGGTTTTGTTTCTTAATCCATTCACCTAGTCTGTGTCTTTTGACTGGGGTGTTCAGTCTGTTAATATTTAAAGTTATTAATGAAAGATGAGTGTCGAATCCTGTCATTTTTATTTCTATTTACATTTGTGATATAGCTGTACTTTTCCACAGTTATATCTTCATTGATTTCTTTCCGCAACTCTTTGGGTATAGTCATTCCTTTCTTCAGCTTTGTGTTGCTTCCAGAACTCTGTGAAGGGCTGGTGTTGTGGACATGAATTCCTTCAGCCTATTTATGTCATGGAAGATTTTTCTTTCCCCTTCGACTATAATAGACATTTTGGCTGGGTATAATAGTCTGGGTTGGCATCTGTGATCATTTAAAACTGGGAATACTTTGGTCCAGGCTCTTCTGGCTTTAATAGTTTGCACTGAAAAGTCAGCTGTAATCTTATTGGGCTTTCCTCTACATGTGACTTGTTGTTTCCCTTTTTCAACTTTCAATATTGTCTCTTTGTTTTGTTCATTTAGTGTTTTTACTATGATGTGCCGTGGAGAGTTTCTTTTCTGGTCCTGTCTGTTTGGT